TTCTTTCATAAAAAAAACACAAAACAAAAACATCAAACCTTTTTATCCTTCGGGATTAATTTAAAACTATTTTCAGAAAGAGTGTGTTAAGTCTTGGTTCTACCGCAAACAGGCACCGTCCCTAACTGCTAGAACGAAGGTTTAACCCTACTCAGTTAAAACACTTGAACCAACCAGTGGTCGTGTCATACCGAACTACGTTTGCTCTAATTTCTCGTACCAGACGAGGATACATAGGCACAAGACGATGATGTCTTGGCGAGCAACCTTCCCCCCATCACCCGTAGTTTTCTGAACTACGTTGACTCTGACTTTTCCATTGCACGAGGGAATACGTAGGCATAGAGCGACGATGCTCTATCGAGTCTCTTTTCTTTTCTTTTGTCCCCGTTATCCTGTAGCTTAGATAGTTTAACACCCTTTTAGATAGACAACAAGCGTGGATCTCGTTGAGTACAACGGATGTGAGGGGTGCTCATACCTTCCCCTTGCGTAACCGACTCCCGAACCCGAGATATGGTTGCGATGACCTGTCTTCTCCCTTTTTCATAGGTTTTCTCTGATCGTTTCCTTTCCCACTCTTTAGGATAAATAACGAACAATGGCGACTCTTCTGTCTTTGCTGGCCCCTTTTCGCAGCGATACGACAGTTATATACCAACTTATCAATGTTAGGCAAATGATAAACGTCTTTCGGGCAAGCCCGATTGAGATCGGTGTAATCAATGTACATTCTCCATTTTTCATTATGTTTTTTAACTAATATAATGTTGGACAACCAGGTTGTATACCTGGCTTCCGAGATAAATTTGGCCTCTAAGAGGTCTTTTACAAGTTTATTCGTCGCTTTAGTCTTCTTGTCTAATTGTTTACGCTTGCACTGTGCTACCTCCCGAATGGGTGGGTCGATGGTATGCTGATGGCAAGCGATTTCTAGATCGAAGTCGGGCATGTCTACGATGCTCCAGGAAAATAAATAAGTGTTATTCTTCAGGCATATCTTCAGCTGCTATTTCACCTCATCAGGCAGTCCCGTGCCAATCCTGACTCCTCGGTTGGGGTTGTCTCCGAAGGTGATCATTTTGAAGTCCCCATCTGGTGTTGGGCGCATGACAGTTGTAGAGGATGCGCTGCCCGTTGAAACTGGAGTGTCTTCTTTGCCTTCTTCTGAGATCCGACTGTCGAGGTTGATGGTATGAACCTGGAGCGCTGGCTTCTTTCCGGGCTGGATTTCTTCGTTGGGAAGATCTTCGTCTCTTTTTCGTTTAACAACCTATGATGCTGCACCCATTGAACTCTGCCCCTTGGTAGCTACCTCGAAGCATCGTCTTGCAGTCTCAATGTCCCCGTGCAAAGTGGCGACATGCCCTTTCTCGGTATAGTACTTCATCTTGAGATGAACTATGGACAGAACAACGATTAACTCGATAAGTGTCGGCCTCCCCAGTATACACTGGTATAACGAGGGGTAGTCGATGACTAAGAACTGAGTCTTAATTGTTTTGGCAACATCTTCCTCCCCAAATATAACTTGGAGCTCCACGTATCTCTAGGGCTTAGTAGTAGCCCCATTAAATCCTTGCATGTCTGAACCTACATAAGGGGACAGGTTCTTCTGGTCGAGTTTGAGGGCGCGAAACAGGCTGGTGTACATGATATATACCGAGCTCCTCTGATCGACAAGGATTCTGCGAACATCAGTGTTAGTCAACCTGGCTCTGATGAGAAGAGGAATGTGAGTGTTGGGGGAGCCTCCAGGGAGCTCTTCACGATAGAAAGTGATAGGCTGAGATCGTGCTCGGAATTTTTTGAGTGTTGACAGACAATCTGGGCTACAGTCGATCAATTGGTCGAATTTTCTCTTCACTGATCCTACTGTGAGTTTGTTGTATTTGCCACAGAAGATAACCTTTGTGCCGGGGAAGGCCTCCCAGGGGTTGTGCGTTGAAAAATATGCAGGCTCCTCGAGACCGCTGGGGATGAAAAAATTCTCTGGCCGGGAGACAGACATGGCGATCAGCGGGGGAAGGCTAAAAGTTGAAGCTCTTGTTTCCATTTTCTTAGACTCCGACGTCTCTCCCCGGGGGGCTTCTCCTCTCTTCATATATTACTTTAAGTGGCCCTATTTGATGAGGATTTCAATGGCATATTTCAGGTGGATACAGTCTTCTGTCATGTGGCCATGGCTACGGTGGAAGCGACAGTATTTGCTTCGGTTGGTGTTTCTATTTGAAGTTGTCGGCTTGGGGAATCAAATGCTTCCTTATTTGAATTCGGCGTTGATACATTCAAAAAGGATACACTCGCGGGAAGCGGTCAATAGGGTATATTCAGCGAAGTGACCCACAAACCCTTTGTGATCACGGGGACGGTCGTCTCGTCGCCTATCTCTGTCTCACCTAGAAGTTTCTGCTTCGTCATTCTTCGATGCTCTGAAACTCTCTTGGTCCCTCGAGTCTCTGGCTTTATACGCGACTTCCTTTTCCTCGTATTGAATATAGGATTGTGCCCTACATAGAAGTTGGGCTAGAGAACATGGAGGATCAATCCCTACCGCCTTGCGGAAGGCACTTTTCGACCTCAGTCCCTTTTCTAGAAGGTACTTCTTCATGTGGTCAATTGTCCGAATCTCGACCGCTTCCTTGTTGAATCTGTCAATGTAGTCGCGAAAAGGCTCGTCCCTGCCCTGTATGATACCCTCAAGCGTGGCTTCAGATTTCATATGACGCTTGGAAGCAGTAAAATGTCGGGTAAACTGCTCCTTTAGGTTCCTCCAAGAGGTGATCAAGCCCTGAGGAAGGCTCTTATACCAAGCCATAGCCCCCTTCTTGAGTGTGATGGGGAATAACCTGCATTTGATCGCCTCAGTGACATTGTGGTAGTGCAACATGGCCTTAATGTTTTCTATATGGTCGTCAGGGTCGGTGGTAGCATCATAGAGAGATAGAGAGGGAGGTTTCTCCAGCCTGCGAGGAATGCGGGTGTCCATGATTTCTTGAGACAGGGGACCGCATGCATTATCTTTGCCGCTTGTGTTTGGCGACCTGCTGAGAGAATAGCTGCGTCCACGACTCCTGCTATGTCGAGGAGAATATCCGTGTCAGCTTCGGTGCTCTTCGTGAGGCTTTCCTGAAGGCCTGGTCCTCTTGGACGCGCTGGGGAGTGCTTGGACCTCTCTGCGTCTTCTGGTGATCTCGTGTCCATGCTTCTCCATTTTGGATCGTTCTTTGACCGAGGAGATGTTTATAGATTCTTCTCGACGGTGTTTATGAAGAGGAGAGAGAGACCGACGAGATGGATTGATGGATCTCCACGAGGGAGGTCGTTCTCCGATGGTGTTCTCCAGCATGTGGATTTTCCCCCCTTGTTGGAAAAGCAGGTAGTTGGATTTTTTGAGAGCGGCGATGAGGGCCACAGTGTAGGGGTCAGCATCTTGTGGGACGATGATGAGTTCGTATACATGGTCGAAACTTTGGACATGAGGCTTCACATTGTCAGAGGATGGAGATGCCGATTTTCCGTCCCTGTGATCGGTCTCTCCGGTAGCAGTTCCGAGAATGGGGATTTCGCCGCAACCCAGAATAGCGACGACAGAATCTTGATGGATGTCATTGTTATGGTGAGAGGCCATGACGATAAAGGTTCAGAGAGATAACTTTGGTCTTTTGTTCGGGAAGATTGGGGGATCTTGGTTCAAAAGACGGGGGAGTTGGGTTCCCAATGATGGTGCCACTAACTTGAAGTGATCAGAATTAATCGTCTTGACCTTCAATGTAAGGCATCAACAGTGGTTGTAGGAGAGGAGGGGGTGTACTTGCAAGTTACTCCGATGCCAAAGTAAGTTTTTGGGCTACAGAGAAAGCAAGTACACGCGTTTAGGTATGAGTTAGAATGATTAAAATACCTTACCCTCTCAAGAGAGAGGGTATTTATGAGATTCCCCCAGCGCGGGGCCAAGGTCTCCCACGTGACCGAAATAACTGGTCGCCCATGTGATCTTTGACCTGGTCCAATTGTCCCCATGACTTTCGGAGGGGTAGTTGGTCGCGTGAACTGTCAAGCGCGTGAGGGGGAAGTCCCCAATGACTATATGCCCAACGACTATATTGTGCCCAACGATCATATTGTATCCAACGACTATATTGTGCCCAACGGATAGATTATCCTAATTTCCTTATTGGGCCTGACCTTAAGTTAAACTAGATTGGGCCTTGCCCAACTATGGGGCATGTGCCAGTCCAATCCAAAACATAATCTATTGAAAAAACTTTGCCTAAAAGATTCAATGGAAGATTTAAAGGAAAAAGGATTATTTATGGAAGTTGGATTCAACAACAAATTTATTAGGGTTTTATAAATTATGTAGAAATAAACATTTTTCAGAAAAATTGATGAATATCACGAAGAAGATGACTAATAAGTGCCAAATCAATTGCCATAAACACACGTATTGATGTTGTTAGAGACAAATGGATGAAAAAGACTTAAGTGACACAATTTAGAGAAATAATAGATTTAACCAATCTTTTTAAAAGTTGAGAGATCAAAATAAACCTGACTTAAAGATAAGAGGTAAAAAAAATATTTTATCAATTATTTTTATTCTTTAAATAATTTTTAAAAATTAAATTTATAAAATAGATTTAAAATTAATAATCAAAATTCATTCGTCCTTGAATTTCAAAACGTGATGTAAAATATAAATAGAATATTATACTTTGAAAGTTACTACTACTCTTTTACTTGCTGTTTGAATGTTTATCTCTGTACTACTGAAACACGCAACAACGGAGACTGTTCCGAGGATCTAGAAACGCAATACCGGTGTCGGAAGTACCAGCGCCAGTAGCCACCCTGCTACGGTGTTATCACAGTCGGGCATTCAAATTACTTTTATCAGACACCGGATTTTTCTCAATCATTTTGCTTTACTCTGCGGAATTCTTTTTGAGTTCTTCTCTCAATTAGACAAACATTCCTTTCAAACCCTAACCCTAACAATGGCGACGGATGCATCCGAAAATCTCACGCAATTCGAAGACGACTACTCACCTTCATCGACGGTTTTCAAATTCGACCGCCCAATCCCCTTACTTCGAGGACCGTTACCGGCAAGTCCTTCCGACGATCCATCGGCGGGTCCTTACGTTCTGGCCTTCAGAGACTCACAAGCTTGGGCCTCTGCGTTCATAGCCTGCGAGCGCAAAATCCTTCAGCAATGCGAGGAAGGGGCAAGGATTGGTTGTGCCATCAATGCTTCCAGCAAGTGCAAGCCTCCTTGGTGGAAGGCTCTGTCTGGTCCCAAACTATCTGATTTGAAGGAACGAGAGATTTGTGAAGTGCGCGAGATGGAGGAGTGTTTTGCAGTGGCGAAAGAGAAGTGTGTTGGCTTAGCTTGGGAGAAATGTTTGGCTCCTTTTAGGGATGCGAGGATTAAGGTTGGTAAAGGGGCTTTGAGTTCAAAGGAAGCTGTGAAGTTGATTGGATGGGCTTCAATGCCAATGAATAAAACCAGTTCTAAGTGTTTGATTGGTGGTCAATTTGGCGTGACTAGTCAAAGGGCTAGTGAATTGTTGGATTATGATGATTTTGTGAAACGAATTTTGGATGAGAGACAACCAGGGACCAAAAATTAAAGCAATGTTTAAATGAAGATGCACGTCCTGCATGATTTTAATGTCTCAGGTAGCATTTCCATGTTCTAATGTTTGTTTAAACTTATTGGTTTTGTTCTCTGTTATGCCATGCATGTAGGAAATACTAGTGATAATATGAAACTTATTGGTTTGTTGTAATGGAAATCAAGAAATCTCTATTGCATTTAAGCTTTGTGGATATACTGTAGACATGCATTTTCATACTTAGGAACCTGGATGCCAATGTTTGAAACGCTAGTAGCATGGGAAATTGGGAACGTAGGATTACTAGAAATCTATGATATCTATACTTGGGGGTATTCTATGTTTGTGTTGAACGAGTTTTATTTTAAATTTGAAACCAAAGCATGTGATTTGAAATCCTAGGAATTGATGTCTAATCCGGTGGTTTGGTGTGAAAATAATTGTACGATACCAAGCACCCTTAGTTTATTTGTATAAATTGATGTCACACATTGAGTGGTATTATCCTTCATTATCACAGACGATTATTTGTATTTGCAATTGGGTCATGTGTCATGATGACTTCAACATATAATATTCAGCGTCTTCATTGGTTGATGCTATTCACTGTCTATCACATTTTCTGGTATGCTTGAAAATGTCAATCATGTTGTGAAGTGTTTTTTTGTATCACATACTCCCTTTGGTCCTATTTATAAGAAAAAGTTTACTTTTCAGATTCATTAAATAACTAATGTATCTGATCTATATATTGTCCAGATACATTAGTTATTCAATGTATTTAATTTAAAAAGTAAATTTTTTCTTATAAATAGGACCAGAGGTAGTAGTATATTAACACAATGTTGTTTGAGAATGATAAAAAATGGATTAGAAAATTAATTGAATTGATTTTTTTTTGAAGAACACTAAATCCCAAAATTCTGAACCAGTGGGGTAGCAAGGCTAGGATAGGATAGAAGATACAATGGATAGTTCTACCCCTGGTATTTGAGAGACTAGGACACTTCCGCAACAATGATCACATTTGATGCCTCTCCTCTCCCGTGGGTCTCATTTTGATTTGCTCTCCCCACTAACATCACAACTGAAGTTATCAAACTTGAAAATCTACATAACCTCGTAAAATCAGTGGGACCCAAGTTAGAGCCTTGACTGGTATCCAAGCACAGTTTACTATGTGCATAGTAAATATTCACCATTCTAAAATTCGGCAATAAAGCAAATCATATTAACAAAATTTAAATTTTTGGGAAGCCACCAACTAATAAACTAAACTAAGATGAGTTCATACATAGACCCAACTAATTCACAAACATAGCATTCACAATTTAAAGTTGAGATAAATTCTCAAATTACAAGATAGACTCGCAACATATTACATAAAAAGAGTATAATAAGTTCATAAATTTGCAGGATTGTTGAGTTGGATTCAACTTGATAAAGCTATATTTCAGCTCATCAGAGTTGCATTCACTCACCTCATTGACCTATTGGGTTACTTGCAAGCTTACAACAATAGGTTTGTTGACATTTTCTGCTTCATGACTTTGGTTATGTTAGGAGCTATGGGATCGTGTTGGGATGTTAGATTGCATCTATGGAGTTGAGTGCTACAATTGTTAGGTTAACGTATAGTGCATTATGGACCCTTATCATTCAGTTGGTGCATTTTGGGCCTTCTAAAAATACAATGAACCACTATCATTTTAGGCATGTAAAGGGAAAATTTTCATTATGCTCAATTTCACAATTTTGTGAGTCTATACAAAGCTACCCAAGTTTATTTAGGAACAATTAATAAGTGAATTAACTTTTGGATGCTTAAGGTTTATAACTCGTAACATTTTGAAAATTAATATAGTGTTGCGGAATTTAGACAAACCACTATTGTAAATGGCATCTAATTTACTTCCCAAACCTCGTAGTGAGTAGTAGTCCCTTTAACATTAAAGAAAAGTCATGCTCATATAGAGCGTTACAACAACAACAACAATGCCTTATCCCACTAGGTGGGGTCGGCCACATGCATCAACTCGCGCTATAATGTTCATTATTTTGTAGTTGATCCATGTCATAGAGATTCGACAAAGTTTTACGTTGGCTGTCGACTGTCTAACACAATCCTCTCCTTTTATCCGGGCTTGAGACCGTCTATGTATAGCAAAGCTTACCTAGGCAGGATTGCTCATATAGAGCGTTGAATGACCCTATTTTGGTTGTAGCAATGCAGTTAGTATTGAACCAGAATTCAGTCACACATAACCTGCCTTGTGCTTGTCATGCAGTGCAATAAAGTTTTCATACAATGATTGACCTTTCTTGTTTGTATGTTCGTTGTTGTTACATTGTACTAAATTACAATTGTATTCCTGCCTTCTTAAAATCCTAACTACAAAAATGACTCATGACATTTTTGGCCCGAAAACAAAGCTTGGCATTATTAGGCCTTGTCTACACCAAGACCCACTTAGGTGCCCCTTTACTATCCAAAATCAAGACAGCCCAATATTTGGTATGGTGGTAAATTGCATCCTTCTGGATCCTATAACTTGAAGCAGATTGATTAAGTTGCACATGAAATAGGATAATTTCCTCTGGGATCAAATGCTCTGTTTTTGGTAGTATTTTTGCCAAAAAACAAAACATACACGTGTGTTTGTTCAAATGCTCAGTTGTGGGTGCTACTTTTGGCCAGAAAACAGAGCTTGAATGCTGTCTTTTCTATTTTGAATACTGCAGAATTTCTGTGTTTTCTGAATTCGTGCTTGGCTGAGTAGATTTTCAACTTAATTTTTTTGGGACAACATACTAATCTTTGGGCTGAGCCCATCATGTAAAAAAATATAAGTCAACTTTTGTGCCTAAACCTTTCCATTGCTCACCTTCCTTATCACGTCCGCGCGTGAATGGTATGTCGCAACTCTGGGACGTTCATACTTGCAATCACACATATCTTACTTTCAAGAGGTTTTGACAATGATGACTGCTGGTCTAGTCGTTCAGGCGGTGGCCACTCAGCTGGTCCGTTTCTGAACCATAATTCTATAATTTTCAATTTTGCAAGCTTTCTTAAGTGCATTGGTCATGTTAATGTCAGTGGATTGCCGTAAATGCTTGAAACCCGCACTTCGAAGCAACATTTCTCTACCATCTAACATCTCATTGCTTCTTTCACTGGATCCAATACAATAACCTTTTTCTTCATCTTGATTATTACCTTGCAATACTTAAATTGGTCTTCGCACACCACATTCTGCGCTGTCTTCTTTATCGTTGTATTTCCTGATATTTGTCATTTCATATTCCTCTTCACTTCTGATTTCTGCTTCAGTTTCAGATGCTTCTTGTTCTTGCTTCTTTTCTTGAATTTCATATATGCCACTGTTTGTATCCTTCATTTTCTGAATCTAGCTTGCATGCCCACAACTCTGGTTCAAATTTCTTTATGACCTTCTCAAAAACTTTCAAAGTTGCCTTCTGATTACTTTCTCTCCATGAAAATTACTTTCTCTCCATGAAAACCACCTGATAGAGATGTGGGCCTAGATGTGGGAATGAGTGCTAGGCCCAAGATATGGAGAGTTTATGCAAGGAAGGGTAAGAAAGTCAAAGGGAATGCTGATGTGGCAAGAGGTGTAACAAAATGATCGAAACAAAGGGAATATGCAGTATGTAAGAAATGGGAGGAGTGAGAAGAAGGGAGGCCAAAAAGTGGTTAGAAGTTTGTTCAGTAGAGAGCTCTAGTTTCTTTGTAGGAGCTTGGCTCTTGGCAGCTTGGAATCTCAATTCCTAGCTGAGTTTATCACATTCAATAATATAATTCCTTTGTTCATTTATCTCTATTATTTCTTTCCGTGATTATCATCTTTGCTATTACCACCAATCAAAAGCTTCTCTCGTCAAAGCAAACATAGTAACCCAGATTACCTTCACCTCCTCATGTACTTTGTTGTCTTCAAAATACTGATAAAATTGGATCAGCCACCGACAAGCCCCTCTCTTGTTAAAACTTGGAGTTAATGATTTTGGAAGGTTGCCTACTCTCTTGGCTTCGAATCTTCTCATCCATGGGTTCATTTATTTTGTTCCACCAGCTTAAAGTCACTGCTTGTCTCTATGAAAGGAACGATCGGGTCTATATTTTCCCCCAAAATGTTACTCCTCATTGATCAGCATCCATGACTCTATCTCCATTCACATCTCCTTCATCCATAAATTCCTCCATTAACATCACTTGATACTGCTTTTTTATGAAGAAATGATCCCTGTCTATATGTTTCATCACACCTAAGGCACAGTTTATGTTAAGGGAAATACAAGACAAAATGGGAGCATCCACATGGCCGCGTGTGGGAGGAATATATGAGAAGTGAATTGTGTAAAGAAATTTTTCTGCTGGATTCTGAGTGGAGAGAAAGGTATCAAGCAAAATCTCTGATTTTGTTAGGCAGAGAGCATTGGTTCTCTGAAGTATCTTGCACTTCAGCCCCATATTGCCTTGCATCTCATTCTCGTTGACCAGCCCATTGTTATTACTGGACCTGGTTGATCTATTGTCTGCACTACAGGACCCGTTCAGCCACCGAATCTGTCTTAAGTTCATGAGATCCTCAAAGTGATTCTGAGTCATTGCAACCTTAATCCCCTCTCAAGATATGTTGGGTTTGGAACCAATGATGTCTGTTAGGAAGATCCTAAAGTCCCACATTGGTTGGAGATAGAGCATTGAAATAGTTTATATAGAGTGACACCCCTCACCTTACCAACCGGTTTTGTAGGGTTGTGCTAAACCAAACTCTAATATGGTATTAGAGCCTATCGGTCGGACCTTGGGCAGCCCACCGTTTAAATCCACGCACCAAGCCCAAAAAGAGTGCTGGGCGTGAGGGGATGTGTTAGGAAGATCCTAAAATCCCATATTGGTTGGAGATAGAGCATTGAAATAGTTTATATAGTGTGACACCTAGGGCTGGAAATGAGTCGAGTCGAGTCGGACTCACCTCAGCTCGACT